GGATATTGTAGTAGGTAATAGAATTTTTTTTAATGTTTTGTGTGTAGTTAAGCACACAACTACACAATGGGCTATCTGTGCTGTGCCTACCACGAGTATCGAAAGCAGGGATTTTAGCGTTGTGAGTCTGCAGACATACCGCTGAACTACTAGAGGGCTTGTTTAAGTAAATGTGTACAAATAGGTATTTTGAACGAATAAATTTAATTGTTGGACAAGAATAGCAGGGAGTTTTAAGGTGTAGGGTTCCTTTTATTGTAATTGTAAAAATTTTATTCATGTTTTAAAATGTTCTATTTGTAGATAACTGTATGTTGGAGAAATTAATCATCTGAAGTGTAACGAATTAATTGTTGTGTATTTATATTTAATATGAACGTTGTTTAGATTAAATTTGTATTTAAAAATATGCGTAACTTAAAGTGTCAAATATGTATTGTGTATAACGAATTTTTCATATATTTATTTTAATGACAACGTTTGTTGGGATTGAGTTTATATGTATAAACGTACCTAGCTCACAGTGTTAGTTACGTAGAGCGAAACTACCGCCAATTCTCCAAGATTGTAGAATATTCGTGAACGCAAGAATCGACAATATATCCACTTCCGTAATCGGTTAAATATAGTTCAGTATTGTTCTCGCACCTATAAAACAGGCAAGGCGACGCGCCAAAAAGAAGAGAGCTTATAAGTCTGCTAGGAACCTGTTATAACTGTGTATGCTATAAACCGTGATTTTGCTAACCCTTATCAACCGGAAAATATACGACATTTGACCAGGAACAGTTATAAATTTTGAATGTCAGAAGATTTTCATTGGACGTTAGTATCTTTACGAAAGTATTACTGAATTCTCATCGGACATTCGTGGTTTTATGAAAATATTATCTTACTTCAATGGTCAGTGCCTCACAAAGCTAGCTAGCTTCTCGGCAATTGTACTTACATCGACTTCAAATTAACTCGCTGGATATCAAGGAGACTCTGAACTAGAAAGAAGATTCTGTGTTGTTTGTAAGTTAGTGAAATTGTTGTTTATAAAACTTTGTTTGTGATAATTATTCGTAATAATTGTGGTTGTAAATTGTTCTGTTGTATATATATTAAAACGTATTTGTGTGAAAACGAAGACAGTGCGTGTCAATCTTTTTGGCAAATAGCGTAAATTAACTAAAATATCGGCTCCTGACTATTTCAAATTCGCAATACGTAACAGAGATTAGAGTTAATTTATATAGATATCATGTTAGAAATCTGGCAAATTGTCCCTTCTCAGTAAGTAGATATTTTTATTTCTGTAATACTAATTTATTTAATGTATTAAATGAATCTTTTTTCAAAGTTTTCCTTCTTAAAATTGTAATGATAAAGAAAAAATTCTTTATTGACCATTTGATGCTTCTCTTAATTTTAATTGAAAGCCGTTAGGAGGCGAAATGTTTAATAAATACGATAATTCTGTCCAAAAATGGTTCACGTGCATTACGCGCCAGAAGAGACGAAGTAACGTTCACACGTTGGAAACGTTTATCATCGGAGAATTTGTGAGGCACCCAAACACCTTCTTTATGGAGTTTTTCCATATTCTTTAGATGTTTACGTATTGTTTCATGAGAGACATGCAATTTCACGAGTGTGTTATCTTGGGTTAGACTCAACAAGCGTTTTCAGAGTACCAATATCAATTCCAACATGTCGACCCCTGTCATCACATTTTTTAAGGCTAAAGTCACCTGAACGAACTTACAAACGTTCAAAAACTTCTTTGATATTCTTCGTGGCTACAGAGGAGTTGTTTCACTTCTTGTATTCAAACAGTATTACATGCAGAATGTGTATCTCTTCGTGTGCCGTCACTATAAGGATTAGAGTATACTAAACTTTACACATTATATATACATTAACGTGACGTTTAGGAATTCATTTAACTATTATACGTGATGTACGTATTTTGGGGGATGGTTAGTGAAAGTGTTCCAAAACGAGACATTAATTTCTTGACGACCTAATATAATATAACTAATATATTATCAGTAACATGGTAACAATAATATGGTATCAGTAGTACAGTATCACTAGTATAGTATAAATACTACAGTATCAGTTGTGTAGTATAGCAGTTTAATACTAGTAGTATAGTATCAGTAGCATATTACCAGTAGTTCAGTATCACTAGTATAGTATAAATACTATAGTATCAGTTGTGTAGTATAGCAGTTTAATACTAGTAGTATAGTATCAGTAGCATGTTACCAGTAGTTGAGTAATATTATTGTTCCTGTTGAAGAAAGATCTACCTTTCGAAAGCGCTCGGGTTAAAGGTTATTTATTTTGTCTTTCTTTGAATGATTTAACCTACGTGGTTTCTTAATATCATGAAAATAATTTAGTATTAATAGTGTAGCATCAGTATCTTACTATCTGGAGTTTAGTGTCAGTAGTTTAGTATCAGTAGATTACTCTATGTAGTCTAGTGTCAGTAGTTTAGTATCAGTAGATTACTCTCTGTAGTCTAGTGTCAGTAGTTTAGTATCGGTAGATTACTCTCTGTAGTCTAGTGTCAGTAGTTTAGTATCAGTAGATTACTCTCTGTAGTCTAGTGTCAGTAGTTTAGTGTCAGTAGATTACTCTCTGTAGTCTAGTGTTAGTAGTTTAGTATCAGCGATATTGGTAGTTTATTATCAGTAATATAATATTTTAGTAGAGAATTGACTATTAAAAATCCACTTTAATTAATTTCTAAAATTCACTGGATCATTGGTAAGTTCATTTAACTCTCTGCATCTAGAAAGAAGAAAGACTTAAAAAATTAGTAGGTTTAAGGAAAAGAGATACAGTTATATCTTATGTTGCGGCAGTTCATCCTCCAAGTTCATATATTTATTTTCGGTTAATATTAAATTTAATTAAACATTTGGATGATAATTAACAAAAGGAATATCAGAAAAACATTACGGAGGACGCAAGATTTATGTAGCTGCTGACCCACAGTACAAAAAAGCCGGATATCGAAGGGAATATTTGAAATTATGTATTTTTTCAACGTCACTTCTTCTATTCATATGTTACGGGCTTTCTAGAATGTCATTTCCTGTATTTATAGATTAATTTTCTTCTTTAATTAATAACGGCTGAACACTGTGAGCATAAAAAACAATGTTTATATTTTATGTTTGATTTATTTAACAGAGGAACACCTTCTTCTTAGCTCATTCTGTAATAGCTTGGAATGTTAAAGGGTTGAGTTTTAGAATACAAATTTTATTCAGGGAGATATCCGGTCTCTCAGAAGTGTGCATAGCCAAAGGACAAAGGATTTAAAAGAGTCTTTAATGTGCTCAACGAAGTAGAAGCATTCGTAAAGTGAAAGGTTTAGGGACAGCTACAAGCTACAAACTAATTCAAAGCACTTCATCTAAAAGTTGATCACTATAGTTACGAAAGAGAACCCTCCAGCCCAAAATCTATTGCTGTGAAACTTATCGTTTCAAATTATCGTTTCAAAAAAGTGTAAGTATCCTTCCATTCCTGTCGAGTTTTTAACTAACATTGAAAAATATTTTAATAAAGTTTTCATATTAAAAGTAGCGTTTATCATTACTTCAAAACAAATGCTTTCCCATTACTAACATTTCCTGAGGGATACTGTTGTTAAGTTCCTTACAATTATAAGTATAGTTCGATACATTTGTGATTAAACACTAGTTCTTCTGAGTCTATTTAAAAATTAATTTATAGTAAAAACTTAAAATCTTAATTATTAATAACAATCTTTTTGGTAAATCTCTTTAACAATTCATTTGGAGGGTCATTGATCATTTAGCAATAGTTCTTTCAGGAATATTTTGATAACTTCTTCACTATTATCAAGTTTGTTTCTAATAAATACCTTACAATTACCAACAGTTCTTTAGGATATTTGTTTTTATAGATTATTTACTATTAAAAGAGCTATTTCATGTTAATTTTGGTTGAATCTCTGGTTGTAAGCAAACTTTTTTTTCTTTTTTTTGTTGAGCCCTTGATACTTCAACGTTTCCTTTGTATGAAAATGACGAATCTCGCAGTAAAAGCGAATAAACTTTAGCTAGTTATTGCTAACTTCTAGTTAATTAACAATAATCGTTTTGGCTACTTCTGGATAAATTATTGTTAAATTATCAACTTGTTTAGTCAATTTAGATAAATTACTCACTACTAACATTAGTTCTCTAGATATGCTCTTTTGTAGGCATTAATCGTATCTTCTTCTTGCAGTTGGGAAAGACTGAGCATGTATATGGTGATATCCCTCATAAAATAAGGTCCATTTAATTCAACTATATATTTGAAATTTATTGATCTTTGCCTGATACAAGACTCAGTGAGTAACAACGGATCATAGGCTGCGCTCAACTTTGAAGGATAGAGTGCCTTGAAACAAAACTTGGACATACATTGAAAGTTTCTTAATACTAAAGCTAATACAAGACTATTGTTCTGACCTGTCATTTGTCTGCAATATGGCAGCCACTATTTTTTCTATCAACCATCTACACCTTCCTTTAGCAAATTCGTACTTTTTATTTGTTGGTACAACAGAAACAGACACTTTATTTTACATGCTTGGTCAGTTCAGAAACTGGTTACGCTATATAAATTGCTGGTCTTTGGCTATGGCTATTTTGTTTATTTGTTGTTAACCTCCAACTTCCCACAGCTGGTATCTTTAACTTTGGGGGCTCAGTTTGGGGTAATTTATTTATGAAACTGCTATTGAATAATTTGAGCTTATATAATTAAGTAAAAAAAGCTAAGGATTAGAAGAATTTACTTTGAAAACAATGTAAATATAAATCTCAGCCATATGTATGTTATAAATCATTATCATAGCTTTCAGATCAAAGGACAAGTAAATATAAGTTTTATTCCTTTAGAAATGCCCCCCAGTGGCACAGCGGTATGTCTGTGGATTTACAACGCTAGAAACCGGGTTTCGATACCCGTGGTGGGCAGAGCACAGATAGCCCATTGTGTAGCTTTGTGCTCAACTTCAAAACAACAACAACAACAGCCTTTAGAAATACGTTAGCGTGATTAAAAGGCCAAATATAAATATATTAATACTGGGATCGAATTTGACCACAAAACTCCTAATTTTGGAGTAAACGTTTGAGTTTTCATATATATATAATTTGTAAAGCAAGTGTAACTTTCAAGCCTTTTGTTTCTTCTCTCAACTTAGCGACTTCTTAGAAAAATGAGTGTTTCGAGATTCAACATAACCTTAACAATTTCTAATGTTCTCAATCAAATTACGTCACATACCGCAACAAAAATATTAATGTATAGATGATTATCCACTGTTATTCTGAATGCAGCTGTAACTTTCCCACAACAAATCCATATCATTGGTCCTCGTGCCTACGATAACGTAGGCCATTTTGAAATAGTCATATACTTACAAGTATTCATACCATCATAGAAATATATCTTTTCACAGTCTTTATTTTACGAACTTTAGGGGTTTTAGAATCAAATCAAACCTCTAGAACGATTTATTTGATTCTTCACAACACAGGTAATTACATTGATTATTATTTTTAAATGTCCAATAAGTTATTCACAACTTAGATGGCATTTGTTGTGTTCTACGACATATTCTGAAAAACAAAAGTGGGAAGGTGCTTTGAAAGACTAGTCACTGTTCTGAAATTCGTTCAACAACCATGAGAGGGTTTCGACAAAGAGGCACTTAATTGATCTTCTAGTCTTTCCTGGAAAACGGAAGCTTCCGGAAGGATTGTTCACAGCTAGCCGATCACCGAATGTATCTTGTGAGAGCTAATGAAAAAGCCAATATTAAACATGCCGAATACGTAAAGCTGGCCGCTGGGTTTAAAGGATAGTCACAGTCACCTAAGAACAGACAATAATAAAACGTTTTAATTAATCTAATAGCATTACATGTTATTAATGTCTAATTAATATATCGTCAACAAACATAATTTAGTGTATTTCTTTGCAAAATAAGGTAACAATAAAATAAAATTAGCTTAAGTCAATAAATCGCCATTATTCTAATAAATAAAACTTATTACGGGAAAATTAAACTCGTCCAACAGCGATTCATATTTAAATGGAAGTTCGTGGAAAATTAATCATATCTCAGGCGCTGATCCTATTTAAAAAAAAATCATGTTTGTCTCTCGTGCCAAAAAAAATCTTAAACTATTCGACATCCATGTTATTTAACAATCATTTGATTTTTATATATATACGAAGTAAATCGTTTTGTTTTCTTTGCAGTCTTTACCTAGTAGACAAAGATATACTAAATTCATCTTTTAGTATTTCCTTGTAAGTGGAAGCCTTCTAAGGAACTGACCATGGCTGAGCAATTACTTTAGGCGAGTGTTTTTCTTTTAAGTCTCAACCACTTCCGGCAAAAGTCTACTGCATGTTTTACTAGACTTTTCCTCTACCGGAAATTCTGCCATCTCTACCACACAGAGTCCATGAAGAAATCTAACGATACCCACTGTTGTGTATCAGTGCAATAAATGGGAGGTGAAATCTCCTGTCTGTAAATTATTACTATTGCTAAAACTATGCATAAATAAACACAATAATAAAGCTTAACAAACTATAAGTTACAGGTTAAAAATTAACAATTTAAAGGAAGATTCTTAATTTTTATTTATTTCTACAATAAGTCAAATAGGAAGAACTAAAGATGGTTGCAATTAAACAGTAGAAAAGGTAACATTTCTCATCCACAGAAAAATAAACAATCCACTCAAAGTTACTATAAATTTATCTTTTACTCCATCTTCGCTGTCACATCGAGTGGAGTTCTTACTATCCGCCATTTTGATCTCTACCATCTGTTTTTTGTTCCCTCTCTGTCGGAAGAAATATTCTTGCTCTGGTAAGACTTGGAGATGAACAGGAAATCACACTCTTTGAAATCAGTTTCGTTATGATTACAAACTGCTTACCTGCTGCTGTAATATTAAAGGTTATGTTGCCTGTAACGCCGGGCTGAACACTACGTGAACAAGTGCCGTGTAAACCTGACATCAGAGTTACCCGTGAACGGGCGAAGAACACCTAGAATGTATGTATTGAAGATAGAAATAGTAATTAGTTGAAAATATGTTTCACTCGTCTGACCAAAAAAGTAGATCTATACGTTTAGTGCAAGAATATTTGATGTAGGCGACATATTTGAGATCCAAAGTACACCTGTATGTGTTTACTTGAAGTGTATTTGAAGTAACTAACACGTGTGAACTTCCAAACAGACCTCTACGTGTTTACTTCAAGTAACCACATAAGTCAAGCTCTTGGTTTGATTTCATAGTAAAAAAAAACTTTTAAAACTACTATCTCTATCCAGTCTATCAAACAAAGGAACAGACAAACAGACACAATCAGCCAATGGGACAGACAGCTAAACACCTCAGCAGAGAGTGAGACATATATAAAAAGAAACGTATAGATGGACAGAGAGATAGTTACATTTCTCAACGGGAAATGCACCGAGAATTAACACCGACAAACTATACTAAAATTTTGTTTATGTCAGAGAAAATAATTATAGTTTACCCTTATGTTTAAAATGAAAATTTCCTCATTTCAACTATTTCGCTTCCAAATCTAATTGG